GAACGACATGGATCTGTTGGTACAGTTCTCAACTTGCAGGCGTGAGGCCCCAAGTTCAATTCCCAGAACCCATATTGTGCTTTGTTTTGTTTTTTTAAAGTACACTTGTAATCACAGTGCTATGGTGGTAGAAGCAGCAGATCCCGGAGGCTCACAGGCCAGCTCGCTTAGCCTATTTGGTGACATCCAGGCCCGTGCCTGAGGAATAACAGCTGAATTTACCCTCTAACTTCCACATGCATTCCACATGCATGCATGTACATGCTCATGAATACACACACACACACACACACACACACACAAAATGAAAAAAAACTACCATAGTCCATATACCTGCACCTAACAGTTGCCCTGAGGTCTAGAAAGCTGGGAGCAAGGTGGAGAGGGACATGCAAGGTCATTCTAGTTGCCGTCCAGCCTGCTACCCACCCACAGCCAGTCTATAAATTATTTTTATCATTTTGATCAAATGGAGTAATTTCATTCACTGTCCACCAGACCCCAGTAGCTGTCAGACATCTCTGAAGGTGTTCCTCGCTAACCCAGAGGCTCCTGGAGGAAGGCCAGGATAGTCATCCGCCTGTAACACATCCCTGCCAGATCCCCAGAATCCTTCCTGTTGTCGCCCTGGATGGATCCCAGGGATGCTGTGGAGCCACTGTTGATGAAGCCCAGGCCCTCCCTCCTCTATCCTCAACTGTCTTCTTCCTCTTCCCCAAAGTCTTTGTCCTCTGCCAACCACTCATTGCTGTTATGATCCTGGGTCTCTGAGACAAACAAGAACAGTGACCCAATCCGACTGCACATAGTCATGTGACTAACCAGGTGCTCACAGGGCTGTGAGTTGTCCTACCTGGAAGGCTTCCCCATTAGAGAGAGCTGTGGATGCACTGCTTCGTTATGCAACTGCCACCACAGTTAACAAACCTCAGGAGAAGCAAGGGACTTTGGCAGAGGTAGAGTGTGGCTCTGAGCTGCCATAGTGGGGAGGAGCCAGGTCCTCAGCAATAGAATGGGGGACCATAATATATATTATATCAGTAATTATTGCATGCCCTTTAAGCTTGCAGACTCCAGGAGTAAGGAGTCCCTTTCTTGTTCTAGACTCCCTCATGATTCTTTCAAGTCCAAAACACCCCATCCTAGGGCAAACTTCTCTCCTAAGTCTGCAACAGGGAGGAAACAGCCAACAGTTAAGAGCGTTAGAAAACATTGCCCCCTTTCTCACAGACGTCACTATTGCTTATCCCATGGTATCAAAATGCCTGCAAGAAGCTAGAAACTCACCCATGGAGAGAAACTGAGTCAGGACTTCCAGCTAACTGCCTCAACACAACTTGCACGGTCCTTGGCTACCGGATACCAATCGCTGTTTTCAAGATATTACCTCTGCTTGTTCTCTGTCTAGGGCAACTCCAGCCATCTCTGTTAGGTGTTCTAAACACCTGGACTGAGGATGTTTTGTTGTCTATTTATCCACTACTTGCTGTTTACAACGTTTTCTTGCTACGGGCTTAATAAACTCCCTCATTTGAAACCAATTATACTGCTATCTAGGTCATTCTCCAAACTGTCACAGTATTATGACTTATAAAACCATGGAAAGTAGGCAGGCACCCAACAAGTGTCCCCTGCATGGGGAACATGGGTCAGTTTGGACTCCCAGAAGCAGCTACTTCACTCTATGTGCCTTCAACAACATAGATTTAATGGTTCAAGTCTGAAGATTCAGAGTCCAAACTCAAGATGGCAGCTGGGTTATCTCCATTGGAGGACCTCCTTAACTTATAGTAGTCATTCTCTCCCTGTCTCCACCCTCATGTAAGTGGGGGGAGGTGCATGTGGGTGTACGTGGAGGTCAGAGGTCAACCTCAGGTGTCATCTCTCAGGAGCCATCATTTTGTGTTTTGATACCGAGTCCTCTCACTGGAACCTGGGGCTCTCTGATTCAGCTACACTGGCTGCTGGACCAACTCCAAGAATCCAACTGTCTCTGCCTTCCTTCCATCCCCCACATACTTTAGGGTCAAAGATGCATGTAGCCATACCTAGATTTTGTTGGATTGGTTTGCTTTGCTTTTTAACATTTGTGCTGGGCATCCAAATTCAGGTCCCCGTGCCGGTACAGTAGGCAGTTTACCCACTGAGCCGCCTGCCCAGCACTGACTCTACTCTTAACTGGGTTAGGGGCCTGCACAGTGATCTGCTTGAAGCTTGATTCCTTCTGGAAGCAGCCTATGTCCAAATAAGGTCACACTCCCAGCCCTTAGCAATTAGAACCTTGGGGCATGAGCGTGGGAGTGGAACACAGCTCAGACCACAGAGCCCCAAGTGGCTGATAACCTGCTGAAGACTTCTGGGCATCCACGCAGGCTGCTGGCCACCAAGGAGGCCACTGGCTGCTCCTTGCAACCACCCAGGCAGCAAAAAGAAACAGAGGCCCCTGCCAGCCAAATCCCACGGAGCTGTCGTCAGTCCCCAAACAGCTCGCTCATCGCCTGCTTTGGCCTCTAAAATAACACGTTGATTTCGGAGCCAAGACTAACTTTAGTTACCAGTGCTGCTGTTAGCAGGGAAGGATAAGTCATCATCATTAGAACAGGATCCAAATGAATGAGCTTGCCTAGCGCCTCGTTGGGATTCAGGCTTTTTTTGTTTCCTTCTCACAGTTTGCTGACATTGTCCTTTCTAATTTGAAGCAGCCTGAGAGAAACCTTTTACTAAACATGACACATAACCATTTGGGAATTATTAAAAGTAACTGATCATTCTGCTTATCTCTATCTATTGCTATTTTACCAACCATCCCAAGACACAACAGACCAAAGCACCACAATCTGACTTATTCTCACATCAGGGAAGCCAGAATCAGGCCAGGGCTCAGGGCAGTGATCTTTCTGACCCTGAAGTTGGTGGCAGTGCTTCACGGTGCTTAGCTGGGAACACAGCTATCCTCAGGGTCCAGGGCATCTCTACTCTGGTACAAACATTCATGTTCGTACCTATACCACACACTCTTTCTCCACACACACCTTCTCATAGGCATTCTGTCACACACACATACACACACTCTTATCCGTGCCTGTACATACACTCCCATACACGTATCTCCCCACAGATGTTCTAGCATGCTCACTTATACTCACACCTATGCACACACACACACACACACACACACACACGCGCGCGCTTTCTCATGCACACATCTGTACTTCCTCTTATTCTCAGACACTCTCATACTCACAGCTACACACACACACACTCTTCCCCATGCACTTACACCCTCCCTCACATACATTCTCATATACACAGCCATGCATATACGCACACAGGGTAGATTCTCAGGAACAGTCAAACCCTCATATACCACACATATGTTCTCTCTCATACATATACACTCATTCTTGCACCTTATGATGTTTTGAATTTAAACAGCTCTCCACATGCTTGTATATTTGGGCCCTTGGTTTCCAGCCACTCGCTTACTCACACATACACACACACACACACACACACACACACAATCCCTTGCAGTCACACACCAATCGCTCACACAGACACACACACACATTCTCACACGTTCATCCAATATGACAATACAAGGCGAAACCATGGCATGCAGGCCAACTGGGGAAAACGTGTGAGGAAGGGTCTCTCAAGAACTGCAATGGCCTGACAAGTGCTGACCTCGGGAAGCAGCAGAGAAGGCAGAAGATGGAGTCCGCTGGAGGGGACAGAGCAAGGGAAGGAAAGAAACGCAGCTGATCTGATGCTTGAGACAATACTACGACTTTTGGTGAAAATAGGCTCCAAGCCACCATCACCAGAGTCACAAACTGAAGTCTCAGGTTGTCAGCCTGAATGGAATCCTGTGGAAACCTATGCTGGGTTTTACTAGCTTGCTAATTATCATGGTTATTGATTCAGAACTCAGAAATGACCATATAAATGTTAATTCCTGAATTCTCTTAAGACACAGGAACTAGTTAACAGAAGGCTGATCTCAGAACTCCTTCAGCCAATAGCCTTTAAGATACTGGCCCACTTTGGGCATGGTCACATATACTATATATGCAGCTGTAAAAGCGTCTGCATAGCTCTTAGATGCTGGATTCAGTTCCTGTTCCCCACTCAGGCAGAGGACTGCTGATCTGTGAGTTTACCCCTAAATAAGGAATCCTTTATTATACTCCATTCTTGGCTAATGTGGGACTATTTTATGATAATCTGCAACAAGCCACCTGGTAACTTGTGTGTTAAAATGTCTGGTGCCTGTCAAAGAAAACACTGGAAACACAGGGTCCTAGCTTTGTTTCCAAGCACCCACATAAAATCCATCATGGGAGCCGGGCAGTGGTGGCGCACGCCTTTAATCCCAGCACTCGGGAGTCAGAGGCAGGCGGATCTCTGTGAGTTCGAGACCAGCCTGGTCTACAAGAGCTAGTTCCAGGACAGGCTCCAAAACCACAGAGAAACCCTGTCTCAAAAAAAAAAAAAAAAAAAAAATCCATCATGGGAGCATGCACTGTGATTCCAACACTGGCAAGGCAGAGACAGGCTAATCCGTATGGCTTATTGGCCAGCCAGCCTGGTATATTTGGCAAGCACAGGTCCTGGTTAGATACTCAGTCTTAAATAAGGGTTGTTGGAGCTTAAGAAACAACATTCTTGTTTGGCCTCTGGCCTCCACATAGATCATACACATGTACAGACAGAGTGACAAAAATCATCTCTTGGGAATCCCCTAGCAGTGTACTTATCTCCTGTGGGATCATCTGTTGTGTGACATTATTCCTGACGGGACAAAAACAAATGACTACTCAGCCTGATAGCAAACCAACAACAGAGCATAGTATGGATACCACCAAAGTCCAGCTTGGTGAACCAATGAATCTATTAGAGTAACCTACAGAAATATGGGCGAGAGTGGTAGAAGGAACAAAAATGACGCAAAGGCACCTATATCACCAAAGCCCACGCCAGCATGGGTGACAACTTACAAAAGCTGGAAGCCTGCAGGTACGTATCAGATTGGAGCATCTTTTCCTGGTAGTTCAATTGGTCTGCGTCTCTTCTGGGCAGCTCAACTCGTCTAAGAATGTCCCTCAGAGGTCCTCACAGCTTCGGGGAGGGAGAGACCTCGTAAACCTGGTCAGCTGCAGTTACTTCCGGAAATTTTTGTACTTCCGGAGCGTAAGGCGCTTCCGGGCAAGACGGACTATTTCATGTCCCCTTAGAACATAGTGTCGTTATACGGCCCTTCGACATCCTATCTTAAATACACGGCTGTTTCACCTCCCCTTCAGCATTCTGGGTTTTAACAAACTTCCCTTCAGGACAGAACGTTTTAATTTCTGTGGAAACTGCTACATAGCCGTGTCAGAGGCTTGGGAGGAGGGTCTATCCCTGATCACACATCATCAGTGCAGGGTTCTCAGCCGAGGTGGGAAGAGGGCGACACCGCGCCAGTGCGCCTCACATCTCCGCTCTTGTCTGGGCTTCCTGGAGATGCTCCACAGAGTTCCAGAGGCTTGATCGTGAAGAATGACAACCCAAGCTCACATCTAAGAAACGAAGAGCATGAGGCAAGCATCCATCCTCGGAAGCAGGTCTGTCACCAGCTTCTATAAAGGACCACGGTACAGTCTGTCTGGGAACCTGGCTCATATTGCTTCCTTTATCTGGAACCCAAGGGCTTCATCTTGTTCCACCTGTAGATGTTCCAGGTACTATAGCTTCCTATCCTTGCCTCTCCACAGGTTTCCCTGGTAACACCTAGCAACCAGCTGCACAGGCTGCCCCCCCCCATGGTTGGAGTTTGTTTAATTGAGCCTACAAAACCCTCTTATAGTTCCTTCTGAATTTTATTTATTTATTTTTTTTTTTATTTTTTTTGAGACAAGGTTTCACACATTCCAAGATGACCTTGAACCTCTGGCTCTCCGCCTCTGTGTTCTGGGTGTAGGGATTACCAGCCTGCATCCCTATGCCTCGTTTATGCAATGTTGGGGATTGAACTCGAGGCGTCATGGATATTGGGGTGAGCACTCCACCATCTAAATTATGATCTTAAGATCCTTCGATTCAAATGTATTTCTGTCCCCTTCCAGAACTGGTGGCACCAAGCAATGATGCCAATCCTTGGTGTTACTGTAAGGATGGGATATGTTAACGAGCAGTTTACCACTGTCTGATGCCTTGTAGGTGCCTAGAGGGTGACAGCTGCTGGCATTATTATCTTCAAAGACGATTTCACATTCTCTCTATTCTGAATTCGGCCCACAATGTACGGTGGAAGGGACTCATTAGCTCTACCATATGTCCTAATTGGAACCATAGCCTGAATTCCTGCCACTTGAAGGAAGAGAAAAAGCTAAGAAGAAAAAAAAAAAGGTGAAGGATGGTGCTTTTGACTTGTTCCCAAGCAAACATCTTTCCACAGCTCCTGGGACTCCTGCTTAGATTGGGCTTTATCTTGCAATCATCCCACAGCAGGGGACTCTGGGGACTTCTGACACTGCAAACTGTTGAGCTAGCAGCGCTATGGCAGACAGCATTGTAGACACAGCAAGCCGGTGTCTATGTGCAGAGGCAACAGGTGAGAGCCAAGGGACACCACTACCAGCTGGCAGCTGCCGGGAGAGTCCAGAAATAAGGGGCTGAGGAAGATACGGTGGAGCAGGGCAGTCGACGGCTTCTGTTGCTAACGGCAGGATGCTCTGCCTCCAGCTTTGAATTGGCAACCAGTGGGCAACATCACACTCGGAAACAAAGGTTCCAGGGCTGGGGAGATGATGAAGTCACTAAAGTACTTGCAAAGCAAATGCAAATATGAGGACGTCAGTTCGAATCCCACCACCCAGTAAGCCATCTCACCAGCCCTTCACTTTTTTTTTTAATTTCCAGTGCATGTGTGTGTATGTGTGTGTCTGTGTGAGTGTGTGTGTCTGTTCCTGGGTATGTCTGTGTATATATTTCTCTCTCTCTCTCTCTCTCTCTCTCTCTCTCTCTCTCTCTGTGTGTGTGTGTGTGTGTGTGTGTGTGTGTGTGTGT